TAGAAGAGAGAAGAAAAAGAGGTGATATGATCACTACATACAAAATAGTAACAGGAATTGATAAAATCGACAGGGAAGATTTCCTGAGACCTGGCACTTCAAGAACAAGAGGTCATAGATTTAAACTAGCTAAACACAGATGCCGAAGAAATATAAGAAAATTCACCTTCGCAAATAGAGTGGTAGACGGTTGGAACAAGTTAAGTGAGAAGGTGGTGGAGGCCAAGACCGTCAGTAGTTTCAAAGCGTTATATGACAGAGTGCTGGGAAGACGGGACACCACGAGCGTAGCTCTCATCCTGTAACTACACTTAGGTAATTACACTTAGGTAATTACAGGGTTCAGTTCTTGCACCAGTGATGTTTAATGTGTACATAAATGATCTCCCAGTTGGTATACAGAATTAAATGAACATGTTTGCTGATGATGCTAAGATAATAGGAAGGATAAGAAATTTAGATGATTGTCATGCCCTTCAAGAAGACCTGGACAAAATAAGTATATGGAGCACCACTTGGCTAATGGAATTTAATGTTAATAAATGTCATGTTATGGAATATGGAATAGGAGAACATAGACCCCACACAACCTATATATTATGTGAGAAATCTTTAAAGAATTCTGATAAAGAAAGAGATCTAGAGGTGGTTCTAGATAGAAAACTATCACCTGAGGACCACATAAAGAATATTGAGCAAGGAGCCTATGCTATGCTTTCTAACTTCAGAATTGCATTTAAATACATGGATGGCGATATACTAAAGAAATTGTTCATGACTTTTGTTAGGCCAAAGCTAGAATATGCAGCTGTTGTGTGGTGCCCATATCTTAAGAAGCACATCAACAAACTGGAAAAGGTGCAAAGACATGCTACTAAGTGGCTCCCAGAACTGAAGGGTAAGAGCTACGAGGAGAGGTTAGAAGCATTAAACATGCCAAAACTAGAAGACAGAAGAAAAAGAGGTGATATGATCACTACATACAAAATAGTAACAGGAATTGATAAAATCGACAGGGAAGATTTCCTGAGACCTGGCACTTCAAGAACAAGAGGTCATAGATTTAAACTAGCTAAACACAGATGCCGAAGAAATATAAGAAAATTCACCTTCGCAAATAGAGTGGTAGACGGTTGGAACAAGTTGAGTGAGAAGGTGGTGGAGGCCAAGACCGTCAGTAGTTTCAAAGCGTTTTATGACAGAGTGCTGGGAAGACGGGACACCACGAGCATAGCTCTCATCCTGTAACTACACTTAGGTAATTACACTCACTCACTCACTCACTCACTCACTCACTCACTCACTCACTCACTCACTCACTCACTCACTCACTCACTCACTCACTCACTCACTCACTCACTCACTCACTCACTCACTCACTCTCTCTCTCTCTCTCTCTCTCTCTCTCTCTCTCTCTCTCTCTCTTCCTCCTTCCATCTCTCCCTCCCTCCCTCCTTCCATCCCTCCTTCCCTCCCTCCCTCCCTCCCTCTCTCCATCCCTCCTTCCCTTCCTCCCTTCATCCCTCCCTTCATCCCTCCCTCCCTCCCTCCATCCCTCCCTCCCTCCCTCCTTCCATTCCTCCCTCCCTCTCTCCATCCCTCCTTCCCTCCCTCCCTTCATCCCTCCCTCCCTCCCTTCATCCCTCCCTCCATCCTTCCATCCCTCCATCAATCCATCCATCCATCCCTCCCTCCATTCTTCCATCCCTCCATCAATCCATCCATCCATCCCTCCATCAATCTCCATTTTCTCCCTCCCTGCCTCTGCCTGCCTGCCTCCCTCCCAAGCTCTGCCCGCTTCTTCCTCCCTGCCTACCTCCCAACCTCTTCCTGCCTGCCTACATTTCAGCCTCTCCATCCCCGCCTGCCTGCCCATCCACCCACCAGTCAGCCATCACTGACACAATGCCACTGACATTTGGAGCCAACATGGTGCACAAATGTTTGATTGTGCAGATATGTACAACAAAGTCACGGAATGAACACTCCAGCCTCTTGACAAATCAAAACAATGTGCCGTGAATCTGTGACATCACAGGGTAGAAGGCACTAGAGTGGTGGACCAAGTGGCAGTCTGTACAAAATATATCTTACCTGAATGTTACTTGAAAAAAAAGACACTTAACTATGGAAATACCGGAGCTCCGGAAATAACGACCAGGGTACAGCCCCATATAGGCCGTTAAATCGAGTGGATACTGTACATTCAACGCCGGTTTTTTTCTCAAACTAAAATACAGTACATATGTTTATCTTACCTTTATGGAGGACTCTTAATGGTGTATGGAAGATAGTGATGAGGGGGAGGAGGAGAGGTGTTACTGATTGGGAGTCCCCTTCCATTATAACATCAGGCAGTGATGACTTTTCTGGGATACACTCTCTGGCATGTTTTGCCTGCATACCACAAGGACCTGCTTGTGTCTCACTGCTTGCTTGTCTTACTAAGAATCTGTCTTAAGACACTTGTTTTTCCCTACATTTTAACATTTGTCTGTAGTAAGACATCACATTGCCATTTAAAGATCAATGCAATGGCCTGCTACAGCTTTATCTGGGGGGAGTTTTTTCAACAAAACTTTGCAGTTCTTCCCATACTTCACACATTTTCTTAACCCCTTAACTGCGTTGCCTCCAAATGTGACACCCCCGCAGTGCGCAGGAAATAAATTCTCTGGAAAAAATTCTTTTTTCTTTTTAAAGTGTCAAAAACCCTTCCCTCAGTATGGGTATGTAAAAAAAAAGTCGAAATTGTACTTACTTTGGCTGCTATGGGGTCCAGAAGTTGGGGCGTGACGTCATCATTCCCCGTGCGCCCGTGCCATAAGCTCTCGGGGGCGGTGGGGCGCTCGGGGCGGGCCGCGCGAGTTGCCGCGAATATATTTTCGTTCATTTTTTGCGCACCTTTCCACATACATTTTCATTGTTTTTATGTGCCAATCCAATGTATAATGAACACGTACACTATAATATCGCAGTACAACATCCGTACTGTCCGTAGACACTGTGTTACGTGCATGAAACTTGTGTACACATATGCAGCACATATTTACTATGTATCATGCTAATTTGTGTATATATACAATCTATTTACACACTATACACTGTCACACACTATATACATTCACCATCAACACATTCAGAACACCGCGTAGCAGCTGCTTTGTATGGGCCAATAGCAGCTGCCTCGTATGGGCCAATAGCAGCTGCCTCGTATGGGCCAATAGCAGCTGCCTCGTATGGGCCAATATTATCTGCCTCGTATGGGCCAATAGCAGCTGCCTCGTATGGGCCAATATCAGCTGCCTCGTATGGGCCAATAGCAGCTGCCCCGTATGGGCCAATAGCAGCTGCCCCGTATGGGCCAATAGCAGCTGCCTCGTATGGGCCAATAGCAGCTGCCTCGTATGGGCCAATAGCAGCTGCCTCGTATGGGCCAATAGCAGCTGCCTCGTATGGGCCAATAGGAGCATTTGGCCATGAACACATTCAGAACACCTCGAGTGAGAGCAGCCACACCCAGTCAGTCTCCCTCACTCCAACATCTTACTTGCCAACATTGCTCCTCCCACCATATTGTTATAGTTCTTTTTACACATGGTCTATATACCTATCTACATGTTTTATTTAGAAGAACTATGCAAGTAAGCTGGTATTGTGTCCAAACAGTACAGTGGCCACCATACACTGCATGAAAAATCACACAGCAGACGACGCTACGATTACGTCACCTCCCTCACCAAAATAGCTCCTCTCAACATTCTCCTGTTGCTGTTCTTACACTATATACACACACTATATATACCCATGTACATATGTGTTGCCCATAGTGAACCACTAAGCTAGTATGGTGAGCAAAACAAGAGTGGCAGCCACACACACACAATGAGGCTACCTCAATTCTCGCCCTCCCTCCCTCATCAAAATTCCTCCTTCCACAATACTACGCACAACGCTAATTATAACCACAATCCTGCTATTATCACAATCCTGGTCACTAATTCCTGTAAATGAATAATTGACCACACGTTTATTTTGATAAGGAACCTAAGAAATCATTTGAAGATTCCTAGATGAACGAAATAATGCTGTGGTGCTGTGGCTAGCGCTGTGAACATCGTGAACAGCATTGAATCACTGATATTTGAACATTGTACCCACTCATTATCACACTCAGGCTCTAATATAACACTATCATAGCTAAATAATACAAGTTATATATATATTTTGACATTATTAGGCGATGCTGTGGTCACATGCTGAACAGCAGTGCTGTGCGCTCATGCTGCGAGCGCCAGCCTTGGTTGCTCACTCACTACTGAGGCTCCCACACCCAGGAATGTGGACCACGATTTTTTTTAAAGATGGCGTCTGTTTACAAGAGCCCTGAGGAAGCTGATGTGAACCCCATGTAGCCGCGGGAGTTTTGAATGGAACGTGAAAAATACAAATACCCGGAGGCATGTTGTGCAAACCAGACGTGAGCCTGCAGGCGCGTTGCGCAGTTTAAGGGTTAATGAGGAAGGGGCATCCTCTACTGCCTCTACTCACAACTATTTTCTTAGGTTGAACCTTACCACTGACTTTCTGGGACCCATGGCGTGATATATAATAATCAGTTTTATGTTCAAAAAGCAAAAAATCACGATAAAATGGAATTTCTTATAGGCATGATTGTCACTAAGCGGGCAGCTCTAGTAAACTGAGGCAGGTCGGCATGCGTGACTGGGAACCACGCACTCGGTCGACCCAAACGTGTACCAACAAATATCGTTAGTCGACGACACTATCGTAAGTCGAGTCACATTTTTCGATCAAATTTACATTGTAACTCGAAATTATCGTAAGTCGGGGTTATCGTAAGTCGAGGTGCCACTGTAATGGTTGGTTTAGTTAAGTGGTTAACAAGATAGCTTCAGGTAGACACCGGTGCTCTACCAGAAAGAGGTATTACATTACATTCAATGGTATTTATTTAATATTATATATATTTTTTTCAGGAAACACTGGAAAAGAAGATCCATGCTGATTCACTTGCTAAAATGAAAGAAAGTTATGAAATAGAGGTGAGGCAGCTTGAAGAAATACACTGTGAGAACATTAACAAGCTGGAGGTACAGCATGAAGAAGACTTGTCCAAACTCAAATCCGACTTTAAGGCTGAATTAACAATACAAAAGACAGAACTTGAGAACAAATTGACCGAGTTTAAAATTGAATATGATCAAAGAATGAATAGTTTAGGACAAGATGAACTGGATGAAGGAGATAATGATAATGATGATGATAATGATGATAATGACAAACATGGAGAAGGAATGGAATCAAATAGAAAAAATAGTACACATGAAGAAACATTTATCCCAGATGTAAATGTGAGAAGAGAAAATGGGAAGTTAAATGAAGAAGTGAAAAAATATGACCATATATTGAGAGAACTACGAGAGAGGCGGAGGAGTCTCGAGGAAGACCTTGAAGCACTAAAAACACAGGAAAAGAAAGTCAAGGAATTACAAACTCACAAGTTGACCTCAGATGCCTCTTCCTGCTGCAGCAGAAATATGTGCATTCATCAATCTAAGTACAATAAAATGAAGGAAAAATACTCCAATCTTGTTACTCGCATTAAAATGGAAAAGTCCAAAAAGTGGAGTAAAAAATTAGCAACAACACATGAAGAGAGAAGTGAAAGCACTCCGTCATTGTCAAGTGAGAAGAGTAGCATAGAGAGTAACACCAATGTATCACACACTGGCCAACCATCACGTGATGTAACATCAAGCGTCTCATCCAGCCCGACACGTACAAGAAAACAGCACAATTTTGCTTGTAAGAGCTCGAGTGATGTAAGTGATGATGAAGAAATTAAGCTTGCTAATCAAGTTTTGGAAAAGTATGATAGAATTCCAGAATATCTTTTTGCCAAAAATATAAATCTCAATAATGTAGGTAGTAAGTTAAAGCATAATATTACAAAACCCATTACAAGTACTCCAAAAAAGGCATGGATGGATGATGAACTTTTAACAAATGGCCGGAAAGTTTTGAAGAAAACAGAAAGATTTATTAAATCGAATCCAATGAAAACCCAGCGTGAAGTATCCAGTTTGAGAGCAGAAGATATAAAGAGGGAAATTCAACGTCAGAATGCAGACTTTAAGGCGCCTTCATCAAAGGTATTTCTGTAGTGGTGACTGAGGAGTTACCTTAGTTCTTGCTCCTGTTCTGTGCAATATTTTCTCTCTCTAAAATATTTCAGTAACATTATCATGAGACCCCACATGCAAAAAACATTAATCTTGAAATAGGAATTTGTTATATATACTGCTTCACACGAGAACTTCTCATCAGTTCTAAAATTAAAATGTAAAATTATTGCCCATCTTTTCAGTATTGTTTATTTCACTCATTGATCTATATAGTATAGTACTGTACTAGAATTTGTTTTACTTTATTTTTCCAGTGATGTGTTGTAGTAATAGGGTAAAGATATTCATGAACTCCTGACTCATAATACCGCACTTTCTAGACCCAGCACCATCACATCAAACTTATTCTAGCACAAACTAGCAAAATATCTACCCATGTATTCTGCCAGTTTTCTTCATAAGATGAGAAGTATTTCCCATGAATTGCTTCTACTTTTACAACCCTTTCTGACATAGGCAACCCTGGTCTTACAGAGGTAACCCTTCCCTTACATAGGTAACCCTGCCCTGACAGAGGTAACTCTGCCCATACAGAGGTAACCTAACCCTTACAGAGGTAACCCTGGCCTTACAGAGGTCACCCTGGCCTTACAGAGGTCACCCTGGCCTTACAGAGGTCACCCTGGCCTTACAGAGGTCACCCTGGCCTTACAGAGGTCACCCTGGCCTTACAGAGGTCACCCTGGCCTTACAGAGGTCACCCTGGCCTTACAGAGGTCACCCTGGCCTTACAGAGGTCACCCTGGCCTTACAGAGGTCACCCTGGCCTTACAGAGGTCACCCTGGCCTTACAGAGGTCACCCTGGCCTTACAGAGGTCACCCTGGCCTTACAGAGGTCACCCTGGCCTTACAGAGGTCACCCTGGCCTTACAGAGGTCACCCTGGCCTTACAGATGTCACCCTGGCCTTACAGAGGTCACCCTGGCCTTACAGAGGTCACCCTGGCCTTACAGAGGTCACCCTGGCCTTACAGAGGTCACCCTGGCCTTACAGATACCTGGTTGATACCTGGTTGATGGGGTTCTGGGAGTTCTTCTACTCCCCAAGCCCGGCCCGAGGCCAGGCTCGACTTGTGAGAGTTTGGTCCACCAGGCTGTTGCTTGGAGCGGCCCGCAGGGCCACGTACCCACCACAGCTCGGCTGATCCGGAACTTCTCTTAGAAAATCGTCCAGTTTTCTCTTGAAGATGTCCACGGTTGTTCCGGCAATATTTCTTATGCTCGCTGGGAGGACGTTGAACAACCGCGGACCCCTGATGTTTATACAGTGCTCTCTGATTGTGCCTATGGCACCTCTGCTCTTCACAGGTTCAATCTTGCATTTTCTTCCATATCGTTCACTCCAGTACGTTGTTATTTTACTGTGTAGATTTGGGACCTGACCCTCCAGTATTTTCCATGTGTATATTATTTGGTATCTCTCTCGTCTCCTTTCTAGAGAGTACATTTGGAGAGCTTTGAGACGATCCCAATAATTTAGGTGTTTTATCGCGTCTATGCGTGCCGTATATGTTCTCTGTATTCCCTCTATTTCAGCAATCTCTCCTGCTCTGAAGGGGGAAGTGAGTACTGAGCAGTACTCGAGATGGGACAACACAAGTGACTTGAAGAGTACAACCATTGTGATGGGATCCCTGGATTTGAAAGTTCTCGTAATCCATCCGATCATTTTTCTGGCTGACGCGATATTTGCTTGGTTATGCTTCCTAAACGTTAGATCGTCGGACATCATTATTCCTAAATCCTTTACATGCTGTTTTTCTACTATGGGAATATTCGATTGTGTTTTGTACCCTGTATTATGTTTCAGATCCTCATTTTTGCCGTACCTGAGTACAGTGTGTCCTCACTTGAACGAACTATATGGGGCGAAGCCGATTCGTTCCAGTGCGGAATTCGTTCCATCCGTCCGGCCCCAACAACCTTCTTATTTTTTTTTCTTTTAAACATATGCCAGGACACATTAGTTTGTTTCTTTGTTGTGTGGTGCTTCATTATAATATTTTTCATGCTCTTTTGGTGTCAATAATAATCTGAGATGCGAGAATCACCATCCCCCACCCCACTCACACCATCCTCCACACCATCCTCCACACCACCCACACCATCCTCCACACCACCCACACCATCCTCCACACCACCCACACCATCCTCCACACCACCCACACCATCCTCCACACCACCCACACCATCCTCCACACCACCCATACCATCCCAACACCACCCATACCATCCCCCACACCACCCACACCATCCTCCACACCACCCACACCATCCCCCACACCACCCACACCATCCCCCACACCACCCCCCACACCACCCATACCATCCCCCACACCACCCACACCATCCCCCACACCACCCATACCATCCCCCACACCACCCACACCATCCCCCACACCACCCACACCATCCCCCACACCACCCACACCATCCCCCACACCACCCACACCATCCCCCACACCACCCACACCATCCCCCACACCACCCACACCATCCCCCACACCACCCACACCATCCCCCACACCACCCACACCATCCCCCACACCACCCACACCATCCCCCACACCATCCCCCACACCACCCCCCACACCACCCACACCATCCCCCACACCATCCTCCACACCACCCACACCATCCCCCACACCACTAACACCATTCGCCCCCACCACCCACACTCCCCACACCACCACCCACACACCCCACACCACCACCCACACACCCCACACCACCACCCACACCATCCCCCACACACCCCACACCACCACCCACATCATCCCCCACACCATCCACACCATCCCCCACACCACCCACACCATCCCCCACACCACCCACACCACCCCCCACACCATCCCCAACACCACTAACACCATTCGCCCCCACCACCCACACTCCCCACACCACCACCCACACACCCCACACCACCCACACCGTGTATTGAAGCAGCAGGCTTGGAAGCGTCTCAACTCGCCCGACAAAAAAAAATGATGGGTTGACAGGTCTCCTCTCACACCTCCAGGACCCCACCCCCCCCCCACCCCCCAGGTACCCGGCCATACACACCACAATGCCAAGTCAGCTATTGTTTTCTTCAGGAAACAATAAAACGTGTTAATGATTAATAATGTATATTAATACACGAAAATTAACATATTTTGGCATAAATATTTTACAGCTAAGATTGAGATTTATAATAGAGTATGAATGAGAGGTTTGGCAGCCATGCGTGGTCACCACCCTTCTCTCTCCACTTCCACCTCCCCTGACAACACCTTCCACCACTGACCCCACCTGCCTCTTTCCACCACCTGCCTCCCCTAACCCCACCTGCCTCCCCTGACCCCACCTGCCTACCCTGACCCCACCTGCCTACCCTGACCCCACCTGCCTCCCCTGACCCCACCTGCCTCCCCTGATCCCACCTGCCTACCATTCGCCCCCACCTGCCTCTTTCCACCGCCTGCCTCCCCTGACACCGCCTGCCTCCCCTGACCCCACCTGCCTCCCCTGATCCCACCTGCCTCCCCTGACCCCACCTGCCTACCCTGATCCCACCTGCCTACCATTCGCCCCCACCTGCCTCCCCTGACACCACCTGCCTCTTTCCACCACCTGCCTCCCCTGACCCCACCTGCCTCCCCTGATCCCACCTGCCTCCCCTGACCCCACCTGCCTCCCCTGACACCACCTGCCTCTTTCCACCACCTGCCTCCCCTGACCCCACCTGCCTCCCCTGATCCCACCTGCCTCCCCTGACCCCACCTGCCTCCCCTGACACCACCTGCCTCTTTCCACCACCTGCCTCCCCTGACCCCACCTGCCTCCCCTGACACCGCCTGCCTCCCCTGACCCCACCTGCCTCCCCTGACACCACCTGCCTCTTTCAACCGCCTGCCTCCCTTGACCCCACCTGCCTCCCCTGACACCACCTGCCTCCCCTGACACCACCTGCCTCCCCTGACACCGCCTGCCTCCTCTGACACCACCTGCCTCCCCTGACCCCACCTGCCTCCCCTGACCCCACCTGCCTCCCCTGACCCCACCTGCCTACCCTGACCCCACCTGCCTCCCTTGACACCACCTGCCTCCCCTGACCCCATGTGCCTCCCCTGACACCACCTGCCTCCCCTGACACCGCCTGCCTCCCCTGACACCACCTGCCTCCCCTGACCCCACCTGCCTCCCCTGACCCCGCCTGCCTCCCCTGACACCACCTGCCTCCCCTGACACCACCTGCCTCCCCTGACACCGCCTGCCTCCCCTGACCCCGCCTGCCTCCCCTGACACCACCTGCCTCCCCTGACACCACCTGCCTCCCCTGACACCGCCTGCCTCCCCTGACACCGCCTGCCTTCCCTGACACCACCTGCCTCCCCTGACACCACCTGCCTCCCCTGACACCGCCTGCCTCCCCTGACACCACCTGCCTCCCCTGACACCACCTGCATCCCCTGACACCACCTGCCTCCCCTGACACCACCTGCCTCCCCTGACACCACCTGCCTCCCCTGACCCCACCTGCCTCCCCTGACACCGCCTGCCTCCCCTGACCCCACCTGCCTCCCCTGACACCACCTGCCTCTTTCAACCGCCTGCCTCCCTTGACCCCACCTGCCTCCCCTGACACCACCTGCCTCCCCTGACACCACCTGCCTCCCCTGACACCACCTGCCTCCCCTGACACCGCCTGCCTCCCCTGACACCACCACAAATGATGCCAGCCACCTCACCAGGGCCTAACGTTCACACGACCTGTGCTTGTTTTATTGGCCTCCTCAAAATTTATTCTAAATAGGTATTAGTACAGTACGTAGGCTGTTAGAGGAGGGAGGGAGGGATCCAGGAAACAACCCCCCCTCCCACCCCCCCAATGGCTCAGGGAGCGACCGGCCGGCCACAAAATGCCAGCTGTTATCTACACCCCAATTGTATTAAAAATTCTGTGAAAAGGAAATGTGTTCAAACTG